GTGGAAACCATGATTGAGGGAATGGTGAAGGATAGTGTTATTGAACCTTCATCTAGTCCATGGTGTTCACCTGTGGTGCTGGTAAAGAAGAAGGACGGCAGCATGCGGTTTTGTGTTGACTACCGCCGCCTGAACGACGTTACGAAGAAGGACAGCTATCCCTTGCCTAGAATTGATGACACGCTGGATATGCTCACAGGCGTAAAGTGGTTTAGTACGCTGGACCTGAAAAGTGGCTACTGGCAGGTTGAAATTGACCCTAAGGACAAGGAGAAAACTGCATTTTCCACAGGAAAGGGTCTGTGGCAATTTAAAGTCATGCCGTTTGGATTGTGCAATGCTCCAGCGACGTTTGAAAGGTTGATGGAGCTTGTACTTACCGGGCTAATTGGAGATGCCTGTCTCGTCTATTTGGATGACATCATCATCGTAGGCCGTACGTTTGAGGAGCACCTTCAAAACCTGGAACGCGTGCTCATGAAGATCCAGAGTGCCAACCTCAAGTTGAGTCCAAAGAAGTGCTCACTATTCAAACGGCAAGTTAGTTTTTTGGGGTATGTAGTGTCGGAAGAAGGTATCCGCACGGATCCAGAGAAAATTGCTGCTGTCAAGGAGTGGCCGGTCCCAAAAGACAAGACACAGGTTAGAGCATTTTTGGGTTTGTGCTCTTATTATCGGCTATTTGTGAAGAACTTTGCAGATATAGCCAAACCTCTGCACAAGCTAACCGAGGAGAAGCGACAATTCTGCTGGGATGAAAGTTGCGATATTGCATTCCAGGAGCTCAAAAACCGCCTGTGCAAAACACCTATTTTGGGGTACCCTGATGCGGGCAAGGAATTCATAGTTGACACAGACGCAAGTGATATAGGACTTGGCGGTGTGTTGTCTCAACGGAATGGTGATCAAGAGATTGTGATAGCGTACTTCAGCAAGTCGTTGTCAAAGCCGGAAAGGAACTATTGTGTCACAAGATGGGAATTGCTTGCTGTGGTAAAGTCCTTGCAGCATTTTAGCAAATATCTTCTAGGGCGGAAATTCCACTTACGAACTGACCATGCTGCACTGAAATGGCTATTGCAGTTCAAAAATCCGGAAGGACAAGTTGCGAGATGGATAGAACTACTGCAGGAATACGACTTTGTGATCGAACATCGCAGCGGGAAATCTCATGGCAATGCAGATGCATTGTCAAGAAGACCTTGCCCTGAAGATTGCAAGCATTGTACTAGGCAAGACGGTAAGGAAGTGGTATCTGTGAGAATGCTCAGGACAGACCAGCTCAGCAATGAGTGGAAGGACAGCCTACAACATGCACAGCAGGAAGATTCGGACATTAAGCCGATTCTGGAATGGATAAAGGCCAGTGCTCCTAAGCCCAAGTGGAGCGACGTCTCAGCAATGAGTTCGACCACGAAAAGCTATTGGGCCCAATGGGACAGCTTGCTGATTCAGGATGGAGTCCTGTGCCGTAAATGGGAAAATGGTCGGGGAGACAGGTGTCATTTGCAAATGGTTGTCCCTAAGACTAAAGTGCCGGATATTCTACAGCTGTACCATAGTGGTTGTTCAGGAGGCCACCTGGGAGTTAAACGAACTCTCCTGAAGATCCGAGAACGGTTTTACTGGGTGCACTGTCGTGACGATGTCGAGGACTGGTGCCGCAAATGTACAAGTTGTGCGGCTGTAAAGGGACCTCAAATTCGTAGTAGAGGCGCATTGAAATTGTACAATGTTGGTGCACCATGGGAGAGGATAGCCATTGACGTTGCGGGGCCGTTTCCAGAAACTGAAAGTGGTAACAAGTATTTTATGGTAGTGATGGATTACTTCACTAAGTGGCCAGAAGTCTTCGCCATTCCAAATCAAGAAGCTTCAACAGTTGCAGATAAACTAATTCATGAAGTCTTCTGTCGTTTTGGAGTACCTTTAGAGATTCACAGCGATCAAGGAAGGAATTTTGAGTCTCAAATATTCCAGGAAACTTGCCGAGTTATGGGTACTCAGAAAACACGAACAACTTCTTACCACCCACAATCTGATGGAATGGTAGAAAGATTTAATCAGACATTGGAGAGGTACCTAGCAAAAGTTGTGGAAAAACGGCAACGAGACTGGGACAGGCACATACAACCGTTTTTGTTGTCATATCGAAGCGCTGTTCACGAAAGTACATCAGTGACACCAGCTTTCGCAAACTTTGGGAGAGAATTGCGGCTGCCTGCAGACCTGATCACCGGAATACCACCTGATGCCCCACGCAGTATAACCGATTATGCAAATGACTTGCGGAACAAAATGAATGACATTTATGAGCACGTCAGACAGACGGGCCAGCAAACGTCTGAGAAGATGAAAACACGGTATGACCGCAAAATGAACAACAAGGGCTTTGATGAAGGTTCACTAGTGTGGTTACACAATCCAGTTCGCAGCAAAGGGAAATCTTCTAAGCTTCAAGCTAAATGGGACGGACCGTACCGGATTGTGACAAGGATCAATGATGTAACCTACCGGATACAGAAAGGAGCCTAAGATTGTCCATGTGGATCGACTGGCGCGTTATTATGGGGCCAATAATGCTCGGGACGAGCATGTCTTAGGAGGGGGCAGTGTTACGCGCCACTATTAATGTCTTGTACACGGCAACACTAGTTACACTAGCGCCCCCTAGTGTCGAGTAAATGAAAGTATTGCGCGCCACTATTAATGTCTTGTACATGGCAACACTAGTCACACTAGCGCCCTCTAGTGTCGAGTAGCAGAACTAGGAGAGTCGAGATCCTTCCAGAAATTTCGGGACCGATATGTACTCGAACATTCTAGATGTCGCTACAGTAGAAGGTTCTGGAAACTATCTGAGGCTCTATATAAGGCCGGTATAGACCACGACCGGGGCAGTATTGAATTGGCGATACAAGAGAATACTTCGAAGCGAAATAACGGCGAACTGTGTTTTATTATTAGTGTGATTTTAGATTGTAATTAGTGTTGTGTAATTAAAGTGTTAATTTTGGTAATTCAATCGGCAGTTTTTAATTGTCTCGAACCCCAAGCTCGTAACACTATGTAAAGATACCTCATAAGAGCTAGTTATATAATAATATACATTAACTAGCTTTGCCAGTTCGGTCGCATAGAATTTTTGTTAGTAGTTTATTTGCAGACATCTTCCTGGCAATTGTGACATCTATGGCATATAACCCTCACATTGGGAGAGGTGTATGTTTTTTAGTAGACTTTTACATGCTGATCATGATGAAGAAGAATAGTTCTAGTTATCTTTAGACATCTTTTAGTTGTAAAGTAATACAAACTTTAGAATTGCTCCTGCAAGTTACGAATTAAATTGTATAATTTTATATTATCCTTTTACAGCCAATAAACTGACCAGAGACTGTACATGCTTCATAAGAAGAATGAAAAATATTGCTGTCGAAGAAAATAAGATTGAAAAGCCATTTTCAGAAAGGTTTCATGCTGCTAAAAATCTAAACCTTAACCTGTTATTTAATAAATTTTTGGCAAAATGACACAACATTCAAATCCAAATTCAATCCAAAGGTTGAAAATAAATAAAAAATTATAAAATTTGAAATGTTGTTTTATTCTAATTTAAGACTGAATACATACAACAGATATTTATTCGCTGAACTTTTCAAATAAGTATTTTAAAATAAGAAAATAATCCTTGCATATCGACTTTTTACCTGTGCATCACTAAACTATCGATATCGACACTTGAATATAAGACCTAGTTTGCATCACTATACGACACTAGCGCTTTGCGAATTCATTGGAACTAACCGTCAATTAGAGAACTGTCCCATCCACAAAGTGCCTTTGTATAAACCGAAAGTCCCATCTGTCTCTGACTAGTATACAGTTATCTGTGTCTTGTATATAAAAAGTTAAAGTACTCTGTGGTCTGTCTGTTTTGGTCTGGTTTGTGTTTTCACTTTTCAGTCTGTTTTTAATTTATGAATTACGTACACAATCTATAGCGTTTTACAATTTATTTAGGTATAATTATTATTCTATTGTAGCTCTACAAGCTATAACGAGTTTGTTAACTTGTATGTTTGATTATACGATCGATGATTGTTTTTAACAGCTGTATCATTTGTATTGATGAAGTGCTAACATTGTTAAATTTTGGTATGTAGCTACTTTAAAACTTAATTCACAGTAATTGTATTTGGTTTTTCTGCATTTGTATCTATTTATATATAAATAAATACAAAATAATACACAAATACACGAACAAAATTTTCCATTAAAATGTTTTTATATCATAATTTTACATAGCAGCTACTCTTACCATTTACTCAGCCCTTTATTTTTCTAAATAACATCCTTCTTATTTCACCTCTACTATATTTAAGGAAAATAATATTAAATGAAACTAATGTTATCGCGTTTAATTTAAACTTTTTTATTCCCAACGTTTCGGGTGCTTTACAACACCCATGGTCATGGGACTGAGGTGTTTGACGTCCCAATGTCATACCTCGGCTACCTTCAGTTTTTGATTATTAATTTTTGATCCGATCTACACAGAACAAGCTTACAGAATCTTGAAGTTTGACAGGGGTATGTATAAACAACTGCAACACCAGGGGAATTGCAGGTGCATTACCGGTCTTTTAGAAAGTAGTAAGCTCTATTTTTTAATATCCCTAGGTCATATCAGTCCGGAAAAATCGCTGATGGTAAATATTCTTACACCGCCGCTACATGGTGACTCCATACATACATCAATAAAATTAGTTACTTTTAAACTGTAATATTTGCATAAATATAGGAAATCATTATAAGATATACATTTTCAAATTTTCACTTTTGTCTTCAGACAAAGTCATGGATGGAACTGTCAATAATTATTGATTTATTATGTGCCCATTACTTAACCTTTGGAAAAATATATATCCAACAATTGTTTTTTATGGTTTTAAATTTTTTTATTTTAGCTTAAAACCAGTATCAGCACTGTAAGCACAATGTATGATGGTTATCCTAACCAAGCCCAGCAGGCTCCTAATCCTGCTCCACCTGAACAGAAAGTTCTCAGATTTGATAAGGGATATCTGAAAACATTGCCCGGGATTTTGAAAATAGTAGAATTGGTAAGTAAATAATTAAAAATTTTGTACAAGCGACTTCAATATAAATTATTAAGAATAACTCAAAAACTATTGTTCAGACCTTGATCAAGTTTATATGGGACCACATGGGAAACACCAGTTTTCAAATAATAAAAGAATCATCGAAATTGGTAACCAGTAAAAAGTTATGAAGTTTGAAGTCGGTATAAAAATAATAAATGAAGCATAAGAAAAGAGTAAAAACTTAAAAAGAAAAATGTATCTTGCCACTTATTTGAGGTAATGAAGCAATAGTAGCCTAATGGTATGGTGCAGAAAACGTAATGGCTTCAAATCCGCCATTTGATTACTGTTGTGAACTACTCCTGATACAAGTGTTTAAAGTGGTTAATGGGAATATTAGAAATACTAATAGCATTGTTAGTATTTTTATTAAATGGTGTTTGTACATCACCAGCATCATTCAAATTTTAAATAGTCAATTGCTATTTTAAATGCTGATTCTATGCTTGTCTTTCCAACACTACATAATAAAAAATATCTATGTCTAACAAGATTTTAAAACATTCAAACACTTCACCATTTGAAAAGATATCTCATTTGTGATATGTTGAAGGTTGATACATAGAATGATATTTTTTTTATACAATATAAATTATATCCTTATTGTGTAATTGTTTTCCTTTTACCACAGGTTCATTATTAAACAATGAAAAAACGCAGATTGTAAGTGATTAGGATTGTAAGCATCCACCCGGATGCCCCTATTACCAGCCTTTTAACGACTATTTCAACTTCAAAAATTCATGATTTTGAAATAAGATCACAGTATTTTTAAACACTGGTTATAATCGATAGATTATTTATCCAAAAATGTAATGAACATTAGTTTATAATCTTAATGTTTTGAGAACAATTTGAAAACCGACGATAAGCAAAAAAAGACATTAAGGTACCATTCCGTAGCTGACTGCAGACAGCAGCAGTAGACGACGTGGAAACACACTACTGGTTTCTATGTAGTTCTATGAAATACCTTCTGTAGCTAGCGACACGTCGTTGGCCGGAGCGGCAAACGACATGTCGCCCGATTTTTATTACGTGGCTGAAATTAGGTACTTCTTATTAGGTACGTCAAATCAAATAACAGCCTGACGGCTGACATTGTGCACTTCGAGCATTTCGTATATCTAATTACAGCCCCATCAATTTCCACCAAAAGAATATAAAAAACTTGAAAATGTATACAACAATAACTGCCATTACTATGTCTATAGTCATATTCATACAAATGAAAAAGCCTGAAGATGAGATAATGTAAAATAAGCCTAATTTTGTCGGGACCATAACTTGTCAAAATATTAGTAAAATGAATGTTTTTAGTTGTGTACGTGTTTTGATTTTTAAATTAACACTGATAGATTTATAGCTATGTTGTAATATTTGAAATATACTTTCCCCTAGATTTGAAGAAGATTTTAGTTAATAATATATGTAGTTAAGACCACTTACACCACCAAACCTTGTTTATGAAGTAAAAAGGCGAAAAGGCTGGAATTAGGGGCGTGGTTAGGGTCATCCACCCTGCTGAACATAGGCCTCCCTCATTGATTGATTTATAGGGAGGATATTTGCCATGATGGCAGGTAAATTTGCAACCATAGTATTTTATCATTTTAGGCATTGTTCTCTGTCGCCTCTAATGACACATATGGGATGATATGGAGTACACACGTGAAATATATGTTAATAAGATATCCAGGCAGCAAGAAATTTGAAGAATAGCTAATAATAAATAATAATAATATTTTTAACAGAAACATGCCTAAAAGACTGAGCTAGACAACCAAGAAGGGCAATTGCAGCTCAGACTGATTATACAAATGAAAAATTGACAAAATCATCATTCCATATTCTCATTTTTTTATGCATAATAGAATAGAATAGAATAATTTTTATTCAATATTGATGATGATTACAAGTAATTCCTATTGAAAGTATTTTTTTTTACATTACCACGGGTTTGAAAAAAATCCTCTGTTCTGGGAAGAACCAGCAAGAAACCCAGCGGGACAGTTTTTTTTAAATACATTTTACAATATAAATGATTACAAACTATTTACAAAATTTATTTTAGAAACAGCTTGGAAGCGACCAGCTTATTCCTAGGGGTTATTATCAACCATGTATTGATTTATATTATAATAACCCCTTACCCTTATATACAGTTTTTGTTTAGTTATATATTTAAACTTGGTGATAGAGATACCTTGTACATTTTCTGGGACTTTGTTGTAATATAAGAAGGATTGTAGCTGTCTCTTTGTTCCTTAAATCTGTTATAGTAGTTATAGTTTTTTTTTCTGAATGAATTAAAACAGTGGTTGAAATTGGCTTTTTAGAAAAAAACAAAACAAAAATTTTAGTTATCCCTTATGTCATTATCCATGTAAAGCATTACCTCCACACTAGTATTTTCTCCTGTATCATGGAGGCTGTTTACTAATATAAATTGCGCAAGAATAAACATCTAGACCCGGAACAATTATTATTTTTATATTTATTATTAGGCCACAAATATACCTGTTGAGTGCAGGATTGGAATAAACACCACCCGGATATTTGCTTAAAAGAATTTAAGATATAGTTTTTCATTACAGCTATGCAACTTCATTGGATTTATTTGCATAAAAATCTCCTGGGCTTGGCTGTCATCAATTTTCTACAACCTCTTGTACTGGCTGGGTATTATTATCACGGCGTTTATATTATGCATGTATATGTTCCACTTTGTGGAAAAATATGACCGCTGGCCATGGTTCAAGCTTGAGTTTTTCTACTGCGCAGCGATGGTGCTTGCCTATATTATCCTATCTATATTTGCCACAACAGTTGGTGAAAATGGATATGCAGTAGGGGTAAGTTGAAAGTTTCATCCACTTTTTTTAACAATTCTCTAACTCGTCAATTTTGGAATTAAATTCAGTAAGTTTCTATTTAAATTCTTCAGCCTGTAAATAGTCCACTGCTCAGCATGAGCCTTTTCCCATGCTAAGGTAAGGGTATTCTTTAATTTTCACAATGGTAGGTGGATTGGAGATTTCAATACCAAATACCTTCCATCCGATGCTATTTCCTGCTGCCAGTCTGGCTATTTTATGTCTAACAAATACCAGATGATATCTATCAGAATCTGATCTCGTCTGATTTGTCGTACTCAACTTTTTCTGTTCTTTGTCATTTAATTAAAAACTCAAAGGTATTTAAGTTGTTTGTTACATTTAAATTCAATTACTATATTATTACTAAATAATCAAAATCGGTCGAGCCGTTTCTGAGTTTTAGTGAGACTAACAGACATCAGGTGATTTTTATATATAACTAGTGATCCACCCCGGCGCATGGGTGATTTCTGGGTCTGGACAACAGCGTCAACTACCGGATCTAATTGTGAATCTAAAACATACTCGAATCAACTTAATCACACACATAAAATTTCATCATAATCGGTTGAGCCATTTAGGAGTAGTTCAGTCACATACACACGGTCAGAAGAGTTGTATATATATAATTTTATACATATACACCTTCCTCTTGAATCATTCTGTCTATGGATGAAAACTCCATCAAAATCCGTTGCGTAGTTTAAAAGATCTAAGCGTACAGACGGTGGCAAGCGACTTTGTTTTATACTATGTAGAGATGATTATACATTTTAATAATTCGTAATTCTTACTCAACATAGTTAAACCCCCTTATTTATAAAAACTAAATAATTTTACGAGAAGAATAGCGTTCAACTAATATGAATTATGAACTATGTTTTTTAATACCAAGCAATAAGGTCTATATTTAATCGTAATTTACACTAGTCCAAGGATGTTTCTAGTCGTAAAATTATTACTTGTTTAATATTACAGGGTATGTACCTACCATGTTTTATCATAATATTAAGATTTACCATCAACCATAAAATCTTTCCATACTATGACCATAACCATTTCGACACAGTTACAGCTTGTCAAAAGTCCAATGCTGAACATAGGGCTCCCATAGCTTAATTCATAGGTGTGATATTTGCCATAGTGGCCGCAGGTTGCTGCTGGTCACCTCCTGATTTGTTTCCCTCTGTCACCTCTTGCAACCCCTACCAGATGATATGGGGTAGTAACAAAACATTTCAAGTTGCAACTACACGGATGTAAAAACATAATTTTTTTATAAATGAATATGCGCACAGCCGCTAGAACATTTAGTCGACACCCAACACCGTAACAAGTCATGACCGTACTACAGCGAATTTACGATGAGAATATTTGGCAGATACCAATATACGCTATATGATGATGTATATATACGTCAGACAGACTGTGTGCTCTCTTGTCCTTATTCTATAAAAGAGGATTCAACTTTATGAATTGTTTAAAGCATAATTTAGACCAATTTTTTATAAACATTTTGCAAAAATAACAAAAAATTTCTTGAATAGTTTAAGGGTAGGGAAAAACACAGTTTAAAAATTTATTTTGTTTCAGTTTTTTGGTTTGTGCGCCATCATTGCATATGGTTACGATGGCTATCTAAAGTACAAGGGGTGGAAGAGAGGACTACCGCCGCAATAGCATGTTGATGGTTTGGACACAGTACATAGTGCACTCTGGTCACCCTCTTACTTAACATTTATTTAGGGTAAGATAAGAATTTGTTCTATATGAGTATTGAGATAATATTAGCACAGTATAACTACTACTAACAATCAGTCATTGAAGGCGTCTAGACGGGGCAATGGTGCGGTGGTATGGAGCGGGTTGAACGCTCCCGAGCGGCCGTTAGTCGCTCGTGAGCTATTTACTGCATGTACGGTAAAACGCTGTGGACCGTCCCCATTTAAAGACAAGAAATTAAAAGTTTCATCAGTTGCCACATACACAGGAATTTGTTTAAACGTGAAATAAAATAAAAGCAGTTTTTGTTTTTTTACCATTTCCCGTTCTGACAACCCTAGCAATTTATTGTTTATGTCGGCTTTTCCGACAACATCAAAGGCGATCACTGACTGTATGTTCTTCTTAGGCTGTGCTATTAGTGTCTCAATTTTAAAGCTGTGCCATATTAGTCATGAGAAGAAATTCACTGTTAACAAAATATTTGTCACATTTACAAGTTTATTTACTTTTGTGGCGAATTCCTACTGTTTACGGTCCTTATGATGAGGTGGGTAAGATTTAGAGGCACCATGCTTGTTTTCGCAGCTTATTTTTTATTTATGTTACAGTTTTTATTTTAAACATAACCTATCCTATTTATTGATTAATAAATCATTTATTCATTAATTCTATTCATGATTGGCAGATTCAAATCTACAACAGTTTTGGAATTGATTTCGGAATGTTCTATACAGGAATACCTATATAGGTATACAAAAATTTCAGTATAACCATTACAACAATATAACGGAAATCGAAAAGCGGATAATATTGACACTATCGAGATATATATTGTTTAAATTATTATAATACTAGCGATCAGACCCCGGCTTCGCACTTGTGATTTCCGGATCTCATCAACACCTCCAGCTATCGGGTTTCATCGTGAATTTAAACCATACACAAAAATTTCATCATCATAGAATGGGTTGGCCTCCTCCATAGGCCTCCCCCATAGATTGCCTTATAGGGAGCATATTTACCATATTTGTCTCACTTGACTGGTCGGCTGGCAACAAGTTTCCTTTTATTTTGAGAATGGTTAATAGTTTTCTATAATGGGCACAATTTTAATTTATTCAATGGTGAGTCACCAAGCTCTTTTTGACCAATGCCTGTGATTGTATTAATATTCAATATTGTGACTGATGTTGCTGCTACTAGTGGTCGTAAACTCAACTGCTGATCATATTGATCTCAAAATCAGTTATTGAGTTTTTTCTATCTAGAAATTCTTAGTAGAATATAAGCATGGAGTCAGAAAGTTGGTGTTTCATCTCGTTCCTAGTAAATCACGTAAAGTCAAAGGATTTTCGTTCGAATGGGACTATGAAAGTGATAGAATAGAGAGGTGTACCTGTGCTTGCTTATACACTTTTGCACTTCAATCTAAGCCTATACAGATAGCTAGTTTCCGTTGAGGATATTTACTCTATATTGTAATTGTAGTATATTTAGAAAAATCGAAACCATTGTAGTATTTAGTTTTATAAAATTTAAGTGACAAATGAATTCACAGCCCACCTGATGTTAAGTGCTACTGCAGCCCTTGGACACCTGCAACCAACTGTAAATAAAGAAGGCTGCAGATGTGTTGACACCCCTGAGGACTAAGATGTAATGCCTCATAGCCTTTTATACCGGCTCGGAGTCGCCAATTAATTTTAATTTCTGTTCGGATATTGTTAAGTTTTTTATCGATTACAAAAAGCTCATAATACTTACTAGTTTAAAAATTTTATTTTGACTTATTTATGTAATTAATAATTATATAAAATACAATAGGTGGTTATTCTTAAATATTAATGTGAGAAATTAAACCTGCGGTCTTGAGCCAGTTTTTTTTTATATTTTGGTTTACGCGAGGAACAACAAATATGAAGTGATTTCTAGGTGAGCCTCCGTTAACCTCGAACGGTATTAATTGTTCAAAAAATTCATTTTTGAGAAAGATCATTCGCATATAAATGAGGAGCCAAACATAGTGGTGAACATAGTTGAAATTTTCATATTATTATTTAACAAGACTTACTTGCAACCGTGTAGTGACGATGTTAGAATATCCACTACTCCATATCTTCCCGTGGGTGTCGTAAGAGGCGACATAGGGAAACTGAAACAGGAGATGGGCAGCAGCATCTTACTGATAATAACTCTAAATAATCAAAAAAAAAAAACTATGGTTGCCAACCCGCATGCCAACTATAGGGGAGGCCTATGTTCAGCAGTGGACTTTTATAGACTGTACTGGAATAGAATGGAATACTTGCTTTGCCAACCGCAGTTCTATACGCTTCGGACCGGAGCATAGCACTGCTGTTTGACGGTAGAAATACCTAAAAGGGTTACTCTTAGATAGAAAAACTAGAAATACTTGTTATCATTAATGTCGCAAACATCAAATTATAAATTTATCAGGTGATTTTCATTGACATATGGCACAGCACTTTGTACCTTATATTAAAAAATTGTTTCAAGTATTTTAGTTGTAAGAAATGTTTTTGTTAAAATCAACAACCAATTTCGCTGTAAAGAAAGCTTATAATAAATTAATCTGTACTCTGTTCATTTTAGTCTTATGCCACCAAAGAAAGACGTACATTGTCGTTCTTTCAAAGTGATGTAAAACCAAGCCAAAATACCCACAGACGTACACATATGCATTTAAAATCATTCGCAACCTACAACATGGTTTTAGTTTATATGCGTGGGTGCATAGAAAGAACGAGTTTAATGTAAATTCTAGAAAAACAACTTCCTTCTGCGTGAATCCCATATCTCTGGTGCCCTTTGACCTACAGGACCCAAATTCAAACTCGACCGAGCTACTACCTCAAGGTATCCACATACCAAATTTAAAGTCAATCGGTCCAGTGGAACGGAAGTTATCGTGTCGGCATACAGACTAACAGACTGCCAGCTAAAACCATTAACTTCCTTTCAATGCTACGCAGAAGGAAGTTAATAAAGATGTGTGCGTGTCAAGAAGTTGAGCATGATTTTGACATCACGTGAAATGTACGCAGCGCTCCGTCTATCTATCTATTTTTGTTGGTCTAAGATTTTAGCATGATACTATAAACAACTTTACTTGCACCTAAATAATTCAGCAGTCTAAAATAAGAAAATTAACTGAATTGAGGGTATATTTTTGTTTAACCTCTGTCTTAAACTTTGCTGAATGAGGTATAATTTATAAACAGTTTATGTGATAAAATGAAAATTATTTAATTTTCGAGTAAGTGTTAAGGCTCTATGTACCATAAATAAACAAATGATGTACAAAGGTATTTATATTGTAGCAAGTGTTGACTGACGTAATATAAATGGGGAATGCAACTGTTAACAGCGTAGCATGTAATCCTAAAGCAAACATTTGGTAGGGAAAATGTTTATAGTTTGAAATCCAGATGTGGTTATGAAAATTCACTGTTTACACTTTGATATAAATGGATAAGGGGATACTGTGCCTTCATCTTTATGTTGAGAACTTCGAGGAGCTTGCAAGTTATAATTTTGCTTCAATACAATGCAATACTCAAAAATAGCATTACTAAATAAACAGCTGAGGAAACCAAAAGTGGTGTTACTGCTACTTAACAATTGAGTACAGAAAACGCACTTTAGGACAGGAATAAAAAACATTTTTTTGATATGTTTTGTCATTAATACAACATTTTAAAATATATCGAAATTGATACTCTAAAATAAATATCGATATATCGCGATTTAAAATATTGGCTATATTTTCTCCCACTTTCTACACCCTCATTCCTAACAAATATTATAAAAAAAAATACTTACACTATTGCTATTGCACTCTCTGTTGTATATTCCATTTACATCCCCCATTAGATTTTTAGAAAAAACCTACAGACAAGATGTTTGGTTGGTTTGGTTTGATCAATTTTACAATATTATTATTACTATTAATTAATTACCTACTCCACGGATCCACAACATTTTTGTTATATTAGCTTTTAATGTACTCTAGTGTTAAGGCATTTGTGGTTTTGTTGTGAGAAATAAATTTTAATTTCATTACGTCTGGATAGTATATAGTATGCATTTTGTATTAATGTTTTTTTTTATTCTAGTTTTATGTTGCTTAATTTCACAATATTTATTATGAAAGTGTAAGAGGGATGTCCGTATATGCACAATAACTTTTCTAATGTTATGCTCACTACAGTTCACTGTTGTAACGGAGCTTTTCTTTGACAAACCAATTGACGATCACAGTACTAGATGTCTCGCGTGTCTGAGGCTACTTCTCGTCGTCAGGTATTTTATATCGGATATAAATGACTGTTTTGTAGCATTCCTTGGCCTGGCCTCTGTTAGCTGTGTTTGTGGACTTGTGAGGGGATGTAATAATGTGATTTACGGGCTGGTTACATCGCCAGCTATCGAATGCGACGAGGTCTTTCTGGTATTTCCTATAGACGCCATTTACGACACCCACAACATAAATTGTAAACATATTTTAACAAAAGACGATCGAAGTTTATGTAGAATTAATATTCTAAACATTCAGTACCTAGTCAATGAAAATATGAAGCGACATGATTGTGTTAGGGAGAATGTTTATTTTGTCCTTAGATTGTTTGACGAGAATGTTTGTTTTGTTCTTAGACTTTACGTGTTTATGTTTGATTTATGGATATTGAAACAATTTTCATTTGCTTATTATTACAGTATTTAATTGTACAAATTTTCAGTCAATGTAAGAAGATGGATTTTTAAGACATTGTGATGCATATTTGACATTTTTGTACGTTGTGGTGGTGGCAGGAAAGCTATATATTTTTTCTAAAAGTCCAGTGACTTTAAAAAGGACCTTTGGCACATGTAAAAGGTGGTCAGTGGAAATTGATAAGATAGGTCACAGTGTAGATACTTTTTATAATAAAATT